TCTTCCTACTCCCGCTTTTGGGGAACAGGACAGGTAATCACCGGGAGCAGGGACACCCTCCGTGTCTCCGCCCATCTCCGCCTCCCCGTGGGATTCTGGGTAAGCCCCGCCCCCTGGCTGGCCTCAGTCTTCCCATCTGTAAAATGGGGAGAGGCTGGGTTTCCGCAGCGATTTTTCCAAACTATATGCCTGGCGTGTCCTGCGGGAGCCCGGCGGAAAGCACACTCAAGCCTCGCAGAAATGAAAGAGGCCTCTGTTTTTAAAAGCCGACTTGAGGGAGAAAAAAAAAAACATCGACTCAATTGTACACACAGTGGGACACCCCACGCCGACCCTCCGCGCGGCCCCAGCGGCCTTGTTGCCAAGGCGATGCATTTCGCCCGGACCTTGGGACTTCAGTGAGGTGTTACACCACTGTCACCCTTCGCAACGGCTTGTCCATGTAAATGACGTGTTTTGGTTTTGCGGGGAATAGAGATGGGGCAAAAACAAGGCAACACACAAAAATAAATGAGGTGCCAGGGCCGACCGCAGACGGCGGCTCCCACCCATCACCCCTCCTGCTCAATGACGCGTCCATCCTAGGAGTAGCTAAACGTTACACCTTTAAAGAGCCACATGTATAACCGATGAAAACGACCGCCTTTTGCTGATGTGTGCACTGGAAGTCCAGGTAAGGTCCGAGTTGAAGGAAGCACCCAGGAGACACTGAATTACAAGCCCGGGAAGGGTTGTAACTCAGGTGAAGGCGCTCAGCTCCTCGCAAAGCCCTCAGCTGATGTAAGGAATCCCTCTGGAATGAAGGCATCCGCCCCCAAGACACAGCCACACTCACCCATCCAACAGGTTCTTTAAAAAGTCAATGTGGCCCTAGCTAGCCTGTTTGGCTCAGTGGATAGAGCGTCCGCCTGCGGACTGAAGGGTCCCAGGTGCAATTCCCAGTCAGGGCACATGCCTGGGTGGCGAGCTCCATCCCTAGTAGGGGGCATGCCCGAGGCAGCCGATTGATGATTCTCTCTCATTAATGTTTCTCTCTCTCTCTCTCTCTCTCTCTCTCTCTCTCTCTCTCTCTCTCTTTTCCTCTCTCAAAACAATAAAAATATGTTAAAAAAAAAAAAACAGTGCCAGAGAAAGTTCATTGTTCTTCTATTTTTCTCCCCTTGACTTGAAGACTGGAACAGCTTGTTTATGAGACTTGGTTTAAAACAAACATGATCAAGTAGAATCCAAATAATTATAGTGGAAAGAGGATTTAGTGCTCCCAAACCTGCTGAGCTCCTGGCTCCTCCCACCAGCCTCCCAGGCTTCTCTCAAATTCCACCTGTTCCTGAACTTCCCGGCCCCCCCCCCACCCCCCCAGGCCAGTGCCCGGATATGGGAGGGCCCGAGCTTGATCCTCATGAATTAACCCCCACCCGCTGGTCAGAGCCTGGCACATGGGAGGCTCGCCATAGGAAGGAGGAGGACAATACTGGGGTGGCTGGTGCCCGCCTCGCCTGCTCCCCTCCCAGGGCCACGGTTGGCGGGTTGGCGCCGGGCCCATCAGAGGCCCTTCCTCAGGAAACAGGCTCCGGCGGGGTGTCTCCCTCCCCCCACAGGCCAGCGGGGCCTCCCCTTCCTGAAGCCGCTAAAAATAAACCGCCCCAGACAGGAGCAGCCTCCTTGAAATGGACACGAAAGACTAAGTCCAGCAGTTCTCAACCTGTGGGTCGCGACCCCTTTGGCGGTCGAACGCCCCTTTCACAGGGGTCGCCTAAGACCATCCTGCAGATCAGATATTTACGCGACGATTCATCACAGCAGCAACTTGACCGTTATGATGTAGCCACGAATATAATGTTATGGTTGGGTCACAACATGAGGAACTGTATTTAAAGGGCCAGAAGGTTGAGAACTACTGGGTCACTAAACTATTAAGCATGAAGTGGGGCTCTTGTGGAAGGGGGCCCGAGGGAACAGAGCTCAGGGTTCACCCCCAACCCCCTGTTGGAAAGTCAGGCAGCTCAGCCTCATGTCTACGCTGCCACTTACAAGTGACTGAGCAATGTCATTTCAAAGGCACTTCTGTGCCTCAGTCTCCCCATCTGAAAATGGGGATGAAAGTCCTAGGCGGTAACTCAGGTGAAGGGGCTCAGCTCCTTGCAAAGCCCTCAGCGGACAGAAAGACTCCCTCTTGCCCGGCCGGTGTGGCTCAGTGGTTGAGCGTCGACCTATGAACCAGGAGGTCAGGGTTCGATTCCCTGTCAGGGCACAGGCCCGGGTTGCGGGCTCGATTCCCAATGTGGGGCGTGCAGGAGGCAGCCAGTCAATGATTCTCTCTCATCATTGATGTTTCTCTCTCTTTCTCTATCCCTCTCCCTTCCTCTCTGAAATCAATAAAAACATTTTAAAAAAACAACAACAATCACTCTTATTGTCTGCCTGTGGAAGGAGCCTTTTCTTTTTTCTTTTTTTTTTTTTTAAATCCTCACCCGAGGATATTTTTCCATTGATTTTTAGGGAGAGTGGAAGAGAGAGGGAGAGACAGAGAGACAGACATCGATGGGTTGTCTCCTGCACGAGCCCTGACCAGGGCCCCGGGCCAGGGAGGAGCCTGCAACCATGGGACGTGCCCTTGACCGGAATCGAACCTGGACCCTTTGGTCTTCAGGCCAACGCTCTATCCACTGAGCCACACCGGCCAGGGCTGGGAGGAGCCTTTTCTGATGAAGATCACAGAGCTGAGGGACTTCTCCACTCTGGGGCCCCAAGTCCAGCAAAGGTTTGGGGGACTCTGCAGACAACCTCTAGAACAGAGAACCCAAGCGTCCATTTGTGCAACAAATACTATTTGCTAAGTCCCTGCTCTGGGTCTGGCCCTATGCCTGGAGATGCAGGCAGTGAGACCGGGGAGACGGAGAGGGGAGGGGGGGCGTCCTCCCCGAGTCCACAGAGGAGACCCCTGTGCCACCACAGCCCCCCTGTGGGGCGCGTCACTGCCTCCGGCCACAGCAACCCGTCTGACACAGCACCCAGCTGCTGTGGGTTTGGGCAGACAAGGAGCTCAGCATTTTCTCTAGACTTCCCCAACAGCAAGGCCCGGGGGAGGGGGGCAGGGAGGGAGGAACTGACCCTCCACAGCAGATCCCATGCTGGGCACTCGGCCCTGAGATCTGAGTTCGAATCCGCACTTTGCCCTTTTGTAGCCGGGGCATCCCACTGCATCTCGAGCATTCCACCTCAATGGATGGAGGTGTCCATTCCATCTCTAGGGACCAAGTCCCTATTCCGTCTCTATGGACCAAGGTCCCTATTCCATCTCTATGGACCAAGGTCCCTATTCCTTCTCTATGGACCAAGGTCCCTATTCCATCTCTATGGACCAAGGTCCCTATTCCTTCTCTAGGAGACGCCTGACTTATGGGGAAGTGAGGAAGTCAGAGTAAATGCCAGTCCCCTTCCCTGTCCTTGCCTCCTGGGCCCTGGCACCTGGCAGCCACCTCAAGGCAACGGAAGCAGAGAAACTGTTAACATCACTCTATCGGCCGACGAGCCTGTGAAAAAGTCCGCCAGCACCGGCCTGTGGGCCCGGGAACCCATGTCTGGGACGGTCCCTCCAGGGAGGGTAGTCGTGTACTTTACCTTCTAAGAGTGAAAGGGGTCACTCCTAACAACGACCCCAGGACCCCAGCCAGGCACAAGCCAAGCCCCCCCCCAGCCCCCCCCCCCCACCTCCCTACCAACCAGGTATCCCCTGCCTGCGGTAACGGGCAGGTGGTGGTGACTCTGGGGCTCAGGGTCAGGGGTGTTTCGGTGTCAGGAGCCTGTACCTGGGTGTAAGGGGACCTGCCCAAGGCCTCGCTCTTGAGGGATTCGTGCCCAAGTCAGTGGGGGGTGGGGGAAGGGGAGGAGACCCAGGTGCAGAAGAGCTAGCTTTGCTTTACCGAGTGTTCACCCAGGGGAGCCATCCTCTATAATAAAAGGCTAATACGCAAATTGTTCCCTAAGGCCGTGGTCGGCAAACTGCGGCTCGCGAGCCACATGCGGC